AAGATGGTGGCTGGCATTCTTTAAGCACCAATTCCACTGTAGCCAAAACAATGAGACACTGTAAAGAATAATTATTTCAACGTGGCATCAGATTTGTGAGTCAGAGCCCACTTTTTCAGACACGTTTGCTTGGGGTTGTATGTCCTGTTGGAGAATTAGTAAACCTGGGTGAATTATAATTGGTGTACCTGTAAGAAGGGACAATTAGTGCCCATAATGAACCACTCCTCCATTCCCTTTTGAGGCCAAGTCTGATAGTGCCTAATCGCATGTGAATTTCGGCTCAGGTACTGAGAGCTCTCTTTATTAAATGGATGTTCACAGCTACTGGAATGGGAAATATTTCTACTACTGGGGGCTTTTTAAAAAGCATAGTTTGACATCACTGTAGTATTTTAGTGATGTGCTAATTCCCACTTTTAAAAAAATCTGGAAGAAGCACTCCAGCAGTAGCACAGAGGAAGGAAGGAAATTGCAGCCATTGGGGACTCAGGCCACAAAACAGTGCAGAAAACTACCATGTGGATGCTCCATTGCAGATGTAACATGGAAAATTGTTGCCATGTGAAAACAGCTGTAGAGGGGTGGGTGGGAAGGGCACGTCCCATTTTGGATTTTGTTTCCAGAGAGGATGAGTCCTTGGGTGCCAGAAGAACACTGGCTTTTGATACCACCCTGGAGTTAATATTTCAGTGCAACTGCACTCCCTGGACAGTGCCCGGAGAGTTTCTGCACTGAAAAAATGGACAACTCACATTGTAATCTGCTGCTCTAAGGGATAGTAAATGCACGAGAAAGAGGCATTTGCATTCCCTTGTGAGCACTGTCCTTGGATTCTGCAAATCCTACATTTGTGTATCGGGACTTATTAAGTTACTTGACTAGGCATTAAACAGAGACAATACAACCTGCTGGCTGGTGCAGTCTGAGCACAATCCTGAGGTGTCTCTGGAGCGAACAGGGAACGGACTTGCTGATAAGGATCTGGGAACCTGTGCCAAGGAATTCTAAACAGTCTAATGGGCATGGGTGGCTCTACCTATTTTGTTTGGCTCAAGAACCCAATCCTCTCTCCCTTCCTCAAGTGAGATGCTTGGCTTAACAACTTCTAAACGGGCAGAAGAGAGTTTCCTGAAAGCCTCTCAGAACAAGAACCTGAGGGAGGTACCAGGTATCTGGCAGGCTGGTGTGCCCCACACTGATTCGTGATATTTTTGTCATGTTTTTCAGTGTCTCCTGAACTCTGGTCAATCCAGAGAGACTGGCCTGGTCTTAAGAGCCTCTAAGCTGAGATGACTATACAATAGGCTTGCTAGCTCTAGATTGGGAAATACCTGAAATTTTGGGGGGTGGAGCCTTGGGAGGGCAGGGCTTGGGGAGGGGAGGGACCTTAGCAGGGTATAATGCCATAGAGTCTGGAGATGAGTTGTAATAGTGGGAGATCTCCAGGTGCCACCTGGAGGTTGGTCACCCTAGGCAGGGGAGTGGAGATGAGTGAAAGGGACAGAGGAGGAAGTTTGCTTTGACAGTGTCAGAACAAGGCTAGAATTCATATCCGGCCGGGGTCTGTAGCGGGATTTTCCCTGCCATTCTTGCGTGGACATGGGTAAAGAGGCTATCCTGCAGCCATTAATCATCTAGCCATTAGTAGAGGCAAGATTGTCTTTCCCCTCATGCCTGCTGTCTTGGGGCCAGTCTAAAAAATATCAGTCAAATCTAGGAAGGAGGAACCTGCAGGATTTGGCCTGAATGGATGCAAAATTTAATTTTTTTTTTTTTTTTAATAAAGATTAGCACTTAGTGATGTAGAAGACATCTTTGTCCATTTGAAAACACGCTTGCTCCTTAGCCAATCATGAATGGCAAGGTAGTGCTGCGTATACCGACCTGCTGCTTCAGGGCTGGCTGCTTGCTTAGGCCGCAGTAATTGCTAGGGACGTTGCCAATTTCACAGTGAAGGTTTTTGGTAGTCTAACTTTGACTGTGGTATCAGATGTGAGTCAATCGCAAATGCCTGCTGAAATTGCATTGCTGGTTTCCAAGCTGTGCATGTTCAACAAAGCTGCCGGTCCAAAGAGATGAGCAACCATTAGGGCTGCCAAGTCGTTTTTGAGCTCCAGTGGGGGACTCCCATCCGGCGTCTGGAACGTGTGTGCGCCGGACGGGAGTCCCCTGCTGGGGCTCGAAAACGACTTGGCAACCCTAACCCCCCCGCCCCCCGGGGGGACTTGGCAAGCCTAGGGGGTTTCCCCACCACCCGGGGGGACTTGGCAAGCCTAGCAGCCATCAGTGTTGCTGAGACTACTTAGACTGGGGTCCTCCACTTTTTTGAGCCTGCAGGCCCCTTTAGAATTCTGATATGGCATGCCGGGCGCAGCCACAAAATGGCTGCTGTGGGAGGAGGAGCCAGACACAAATGGCGGCTGCAGCTTATCCCCCTTTCCCCATCCATGTATTCAAGAAGGCAACAAAATTCAGTGCTGTATCAGGTGTTTGCAGTAAACAAATACAAAATGACGTGGTTTACGTAGATCTGAAAGATCTAACAGCAGCTAAAGGCTAACAGCACCGCTTTCTGAAACAGTGCTAATAAACATGACATTGGGTTAGATCTGAAAGGCTAGCAGCAGTACTTTCTCTTGGTCCGAGGGGCCTTCCCTTCATGATAGGCTCTTGCTTCAGTGTGTGTGTGTGTGCGGGGGAGGTTCCATGGAAAGCACTGTGCTGCTATTAGTGGAACAGATCTGTAAGATCCCACTTGGTAATCATGAGACTCTGGTTGGGGAAGGAAACAAATACCTGGTTTTTTGACCACGACTTCTTTCTGTGGTTTTCTGAGCACATTGTGGTGAGCCCTGACAGTATCAATAGACAGTGATATCGGATAAGCTTTCCTAAAAGGCTGCAAGCCCATCCCTATTTATCTTCCCTGCAACATGGAGACAGTCTGTTGGCTTTGGTCTAGCCTAGGGCATGCGGTGCCTTAATGCAAGGCAGCTCTGAGATTCAACAGGGGCTGGCCAGCACTGTTCAGGACGATCTATTCTGGGCCACGGAATCCATCCCAGAATCCTTTGCAAAGATGATATGTCATGGTTTCCCTCACCATAGAAACAGCACATGCTCCAACTCCCTGAGGATAAAATGGAAGGGGCAGGGGAGAACGAGGCCGTAAGCGACTTCTGGTCCCCATTGGGTTGAAAAGCAGGGTATAAATGTCTAGTTTGGTGTAGTGGTTAAGTGTGCAGACTCTAATCTGGGAGAACCGGATTTGATTCCCCACTCCTCCACTTGCACCTGCTGATGTGACCTTGGGTCAGTCACAAGCTCTGGCACAGCTGTCCTTGAAAAAGAGCAGTTTGTGTCAGAGCTCTCTCAGCCCCACCCACCTCACAGGGTGTCTGTTGTGGGGAGGGGGAGGGAAAGGAGATTGTAAGCTTCTCTGAGACTCCAAGTGAAGGGCGGGGCATAAATCCAATCTCTTCTTCCTCTTCTCTAAACAAATAAGATGCAATGGCCCAGGTGGCAGGGCACCTCATGGTAATCTAAGTGCACGGAGTGGTTTATATACTTCCCGTGCAGTCCTATGAAGAGTTGCTCCATAGGGTTACCAGTTCTGGGTTGGGAAATACCTGGAGATTTGGGGGGGTGGAGCCTGGGGAGGGCAGAGTTTGGGTAGGGGAGGGACCTCAATGAGGTACAATGCCACAGAGTCCACCCTCTAAAGCAGCCGTTTTCTCCCAGGGAGCTGATCTCTATGGCCTGGAGATCAGTTGTAATAGCAGGAGATCTCCAGGCCCCACCTGGAGGCTGGCAACCCTGCCAGTCAAGCCCATTGACATTAATGGGATTCGACTGGGACAATGCTCCATAGGGCTGCACTATAAGTGTATGAACTGCCCCATGAAATCAGTGGGCTTAGACTGGAGTAGCTCTGCCTAGGATTGCACTGTAAAGCTCCTTGAGGTGGCTCAGTCTTTTATAGAGACGCCAATGTTGGATCAGGCCAAAGGCCCATCCAGTCCAACACTCTGTGTCACACAGTGGCCAGAAATACCAGTGCCATCAGGAGGTCCAGCAGTGGGGCCAGGACATTAGAAGCCCTCCCACTGTTGACCCCCCCCCCAAGCACCAAGAAGACAGAGCATCACTTGCCCCAGAGCCCCTAGCTATACCTTGTGGCTAATAGCCACTGATGGACCTCTGCTCCATATGCTTATCTAATTCCCTTTTGAAGCCATCCATGCTTGTAGCACCCACCACTTCCTGTGGCAGTGAATTCCAAGTGTTAATCACTCTTTGGGTGAAGAAGGACGTCCTTTTATCCGTTCTAACCCGACCGCTCTGCAGTTTCATGGAGTGCCCACGAGTTCTTGTATTGTGAGAAAGGGAGAAAAGTACCTCTTTCTTTACCTGCTCTTTCCCATGTCCCTGTCGGTTCCACTTTTCCTTAGGGAGCAGCAATAATAATAAGCAGGGGTCATTTCGTAGAAAAAGAGCTAGGGGAACTCATTAGCATAACTCAAAAAAAACTCATTAGCATATGCCACACCCCCTGACATCACCGGAAGTGTGGCATAAGGCCACACACCCCGCCCCCAATGGTCCCGGCCGCCACCGGCCTTGCAGCTCCACTGCCGAGCCCCATGAGGGGCCCGGCGGTGGACCTGCAAGGCC